AAAATCACGTCCATAACAGGAATATGGTCTGTCATTAAGTACCTGAGATAAGAGAGGCCGGGGAATGAGAATCAGAATGATACATGGTTCAACTTTTACTAAAAAAAAGAACCGTGATGGCACTACCAAGTCCGCTGAAAGGCCGGTTATTGACCGTGTCAGTCGTGTCACGATCAACTGTGTAATAATTCCTCCTCACTTCAGTCATCGCATTTGGAGAAGTAATATTCTCTAACCAACAGGCTCTGACGACCTCAGTCAGTTCCCTGGATGTTGGCGAAACGACCATTATTTAAAAATTCCCGCTAACTTTTACAAAGGCCACATTGCCATCTTGAGCAATAATGCTTTATCGGAGGCGGCCCGGGACTATGGATTGAATACTACATGTATAGCGGGGTCAGCTAATGTAGGTCAGGTAATCGAATGTTGAGGTAATCGCAAGTCAAGCGAACCGAATGTTAAGGTAATCGCAAGTTAAGCGAACCGAATATCAAGACATTTGAACATGAAAATAATCGAATCTTATAACAATTGAATGTCAAGATAATGTCTAAATAACGACACAATTGTAACATTATGAAACAATGACAACATAATATTGTAGCAATTACACAATAATGAAATAATTAAGAAATAAAGTTGAAATAATAAAACAATAGCAATAGGATGCTGCAGTAATAACACAATAAAGGAATAAGCACAAAATAATGTTTAAATAAAGACCAAATAACCGAATAATGACCAAATAATAACCAAACAAGTTTCCAAATAAAGACCAAACAACTAAACAATGTTCAAATAATGACACCAAGCTAATTTTGGCGGTATTCTCACCCCATACGGGTACGTGATCGCCCTTGGGGATGACCCCTTAGGCGAGGCCTTTTTCTTAGAGAATGCTAACCTAGGGTGTTTCTTTAGACCCAGGTATTTTTTCTAGTAGTTTCCGTTTGGGGCTGTAAACGAGTAATAAATGAAATTCAGTATTTTCATGAATTTTCTGGTAGGTATGATTAGGTAAACAAACGGGTTTGTACAACCCTAATAATTTCACTCATTGTATTGTGGGAAAATCAATGTTCATTAACATAAATGTCTCATACGTGTATACATAAGTATACATCATCATATTTGTTTACCTTTTGCGCATGTCATTTGAACCCAAACAAAAAATAATGCTGACGTTTACAAATGTTATTTAATATGCATGTATGGATGTGTATGGGGAATATAAAAAGTGCATGGTTCAATAAACATCTATAATTATCAACTATCAAAGTCAACATTGTAGGTGGGAAAACAGTGAGCGTGTGGTTGTAGCAAAACAGTGCTTTATACACGTGCTAACAATATTGTTATTGTGTTCTATTTTAGTAGTTGATGATATGCATGTTAACAACCCATTGTGGGAGGAAAGCAGTCGGGTATACTATGCTATGGGCTGTGACCTTGATGGAGTCCCGCGGGAGTGTCTACAGCTTCCAATCTGTCATGCTAGAGAGATGAGGCTGAGGGGAAACAGAATTCGACATTTACCACAAAATATTGGGTCTGTGTGGACAGAATTGAGAGGATTGTGGCTGCAAGGCAACAATCTGAGACAAATTCCAGAGTCAGTCGGTGAGCTCAAAATGCTAGAATCACTGGATATAAGTAGAAATCCATTGACAAGTATACCAAGATCATTGACCAAACTGACAAATTTGAAAATGTTTTCGTGTGATGCCATTGAAGGTGTTTCCTCAGAAGATATGGTAATTGAAGGAAACCAAACGAAAATCAGAAAACTATGGGATAAATTATTTCCACAGGAAATACTAGGTATGTATAAAAATAAACAACAACGGATAACGTTACAGCATTTTATTGAGTATAAACAAGGCCACGTGTTGCCAATAAATGAATTTTAAAAGAGAAATTCAGTTGCTTTTAGTGATAATTGTTATAAGTGAATTATGATTTAACTAAATACCAGTTCTATGACAGCATGTCTTGCCACAGATCCCATGTGTCGTTTGAAGTTGTCATACAATTTATGGAGTCAATGATCTGTCTGAATTATGATTTAACTAAATACGTCATTGTTTTATTTAGCATTTCGTTGTACAGGATGCTGATTTTTACGGTACCCAGTTCTAAATACAAGACTCCCGTCTTATCAATAATAGCTTTGATTCCAGGTTTCATCTGTCTGCCTTCTATTGGATAAGACAAAATCTCCAACATACACATTAGTCACTAAGAGAAAGCAATGCTACACATTGCAATCTTTCATGTATGGTCACGCAGTTGTTACCCTTGTCAATGTCCCGACACGCCAGTTGCATTCTGTCTGCAAGGAAGCCTAGTATCGTTATACCCATTTATTGTTGTGTAACCGGTCGTAGTTCGGAGTCGGGGAATAGTTTCAGTTTTTGGGGAAAGGAAAGTAATATATCGACCTGGTTCGGATCATAAGTTAGGGAATTTCTCGCTTGGCAAATGTGAGAAGTAAACTTGGGGATCAACTGACTCACTCGAAGAAAAAGATCAGATCAATAAGTAGAGTTAGTTCGTTTTAGTTCATAATTGTAAAACGCCAAAACAGAACAGTTCCGTCATAAAAACAGGGATAAGGTCTCGGGGACGTCCTTCGTGCGTGGGGATACTCGGGTCGGGGATCTCCTCGATTGGTTTTCCGTTCCTCCTTTTAAGGATATCTTGACCAATGGCTGGCTGCCATTTTAATCTTAATCACGTGATATGCAACAGCTAATCGAAATTAATACATTGGTACGTGACATTTATGACGTCACCTAACGGTGACTGACCAATGGCAGGTTGCAATTTTTTTGTCACGTGATATTTACAACGGCCAATCGAAATAGAATATTTTGTTACGTGATTTTTGTGACGTCACCTAACGGTAACAGTTGCTCCCATTTACTTACACCCACCATCCTCCCAAGACTGCTCTCACACCCATTAGCAGGTGTTGAACCAACCCTGGAGCAAATTAATTCATATAGGGTATGCTGGCCGCTTCTGGTAATTAGCAGCAGCAATAAAACCCTATTAAATAAACATATGTCAGGACACTTACTTTGTGATTAAATACAAGATGACCAAATAAATGACAAACACTGTAATGCTAAAATGCATCAAATTTAGACATTTTTGCCTTTCTTGAAAAGGGTATCATTCGTGTATAGAATAATTATATTTAGACTTGAACTTCTGATGCACAGATTCAAAATGACCATTACATTTTGTTTTCACGAATGGTGTTTCAGGACCATGTCTACACGAAGCCTAGAATTATCATATTCAAACTTCACTCATATGTCGTGCACTATGGTACAATTATATACACGTATTTGTGCCATGATGTTCCAGAGCCATACATGTGACACTTGTAGTACACTCGACATATACATCATCCCACAGTGATAGCATTTGTTAGAATTCCTCATCAAACATTTCCACATATACTTTGAAACACGATATCAGGCTCTTATTAGTGGATTTTATTTAAATTTGTACAACATCGGAACATTCACAATGTTCCAATTTAATGTGGCAAGAGAGTTTGTATAATAGTAATTTGTATTGTACTGATTTGTGTTATGTCTCATCTTATCAATCTAGCACATAGTGACAGATCTGGAGAAGACACAAATAAAAGTTGGGATGCTGCCAGAAGAACATCAAGAAAAAATAAATCTTATAAAGAGAATGAGCAGGCATCTGTTGGAGAAGCTAAGAAAAGGAGCTAAATCTGACCAGCTAAGACGTATTGATGAACGTTTAAGACGAGCAGAAGACAGTGAACTCAATGACTGTGATGAAATGCCTCATCATGTTAGTTATATATGTGTTTTTTTAATTTCCTAAATTAACAAATATATCACTTTATGTGTCTTGTAAAGACTGAGAACGCTGACTTGAAATGTCACTAATGATCGATAAGAGCTATATCTACCAGTCAGTTACAAGGTATACCCTTAATGCTATTGTGGCAGACCGTGCGGTACTCTCACTACATAAAACGGCCCTCGCTGTCATGTAGTATTTCGGGTAAAGGTCAGAAATAATAATTAATAATAATGCAATGGTTTGCCGGAGGACTACGTTCGTCTTATTCGGGCGCTAATAATTCTTGTTTCTATTTGTGCATTACGGCAACCGAGTGGGTCACGTTTTTTGTGTTTGATTTTCACTCAATCACACTAAGAATTTTTATTTGAATTTTAAAATGATTTAGTCGATTTCACAAATAAAACCGATATCAGACTTAAAGGAATTATGCATATTATACAGTTTGAAATTTCACTTACAAATTTACATTTGTAATCTTACTTTTATTTTCGAAAATGGATTTACATTTGAAAATTTACTTTTATTTTTGGAAATGGATTTATATTTGATGGATACTTATACGTCTCTGGAACTATTTCTCGAAGATAAACAGTTTTTTTTTATTCTAACCGATTGGCATTGTTTTTATTAATGTCTCTGTCGATTCCTCACTATTATATGCCGTTGGATGTTCAGTTCGCACACTGTAATACCATAGAATGTGTTATTTTGTTATTTGGTAAAATCCTAAAATTGTCCTTAACTGTTTCTTGGATATGAAATTATTAACTTAGTCTGGCGATTTTAAAGTTTGGACCCCCCCCCCATAAATAATCCTGTATCCGCCCCTGCGAGCACCAGTCAAGATAGGTATAAATATCGGTAATATTTTTCCGATTTGGTATAAATAACTTGAACATTGTGTTAATAATATGCTCTTATGTAAGTGACAGCGATGTTTCTATGTTCAAAATACATATTTTAATAAATCAATATACAATGCAACTGTTGGCTTACATGTGTTTCTATTGGAGATGCTCTTCTAATAGAGCAAATACGGTAACTGTTTTACTTGGAATAAACAGTGATGACAGAAATTGTACCTTGGTATAAATATGGGTATAGATTTTGCGACTATCCAGGTACAAAAATAGTCACACTCTTGAGCACTCGGGGGCACCTCCCCACCTAGCTATGTATCAACTGCCCCTGGGCTATTTCGACCACCGTATTGCTTGTTACTAATACCCCACACATGTGCGACGAGACAAGTGGTTGTCTTTCAGGATTTGTTACATTAATATTTGTGACTTTTTACAGTATATAGAACATACTGACCCAGAAAGGAGCAACTGTGTAAAACAAGTTGGTCCTTGTGAATTAGAAAATGTCGGGTGTAACGAACTGGTAAGTAAAACATTTTTCATCAGTCTAAGACAGTGCAACTAATGCGAGCAATGTTTGCTTTCAGCCGTAAATTCACAAAATGATCTCGTTTACCAGCAAAATATTCCTTTTTTTATGTTCTGCGTTTTGTATTTTTAAATGTGCTTTAAATAAATGAACTTGTTAAAAAAAAACATTGATTCTTCTTGTTACTCGTCTGTCTCAGAATGATGCAACTATTAAAATAGAATTCATAACAGAATTCATAACAGAATTCATAATAGAAAATACTCGTGTAAAATACCTGGTAATCTTCCACGTATTCCATTATAACAACTCATGAATAAAAAAATATATCTCAGACAATCCTCAGATTTGATATGAACATTACATATATGATTAGTTACTGATGCATGTGTTTTTATGTGTTCTCACTCGTTAATCTTGATCGTACTATGACAAAGAAATAATGGTATACATATGCACATTTGAACATGTCATCAAATTGAATATAGTGGTTTGGGGTAGCCAATATAATAAAACTATGGATTATGTTGAGGAAAAGTTTACTCTGTAGACAGCACGTTAGTGACTCCACCAACATTTGGTTATAATCTATATCGTTTTTCATTGTTTATACTAAAAATTTGACGAGATAATTTCATTGACAATGACTTTTTAAGTTTTGATAACTTGATTTCACCTGACCATTCTTATCAACCACGCAAGTTTCTAGCATTAAAACTGTATGGTGTATTTTTGATTTTTCTGTTGCTATATTTGTACTTTTAGGTAGAAATTAAGAAAATGACACAACATTTGGAGACATCTATCGTGAAACATCTCGATTTAACTCGCGATAAAGTACTGGTTATAGTTAAGGAGTATGATGCATTAAAAGCGGTTTTAGATGTACCAAGACTGTCCCAGAATGTGGGGGAAAGTGCAGACAAGATAGTGGTAGTAGAACGTGCTGTTCAGAAAGTTGAGCGAGACTTGGCTGATGTGACCACTAGTCAGCAAAATCAGCAATCAGCAAGACAAGCTAATATTGATAAGCAGTCCCGATTAACTAATGAGATGAAAGCCAAGACCATCATTCTTGACTCTAAGCTATCTACGTATGAAGGAATCGTTGCTGTACTCAACGGTCAGATTGAGAGAGTTGCCAACGTTGTGCAGGCCACGGAAAAAGAGCAGAAACAAGACAGAGATTTGTTGGCCTCTCTGGAGAGAAAAATTAAATCACAGGACCGCATCATCGCACTGAAGGATGTGTACTTAGCTGAGCAAGATCTACGAATTCAGTCGCTGGAGATGGCTTCCTACGATGGTGTATTGGTGTGGAAAATTACTGACTTCAACCGTAAACGAAACGAAAGTATATCTGGCCGTACTACATCCATCTACTCGCCATGCTTCTTCACCAGTCGCCATGGTTACAAGATGTGCGCAAGGATTTATTTAAATGGAGATGGGATGGGAAAGGGCAATCATATCTCGCTGTTTTTTGTCATCATGAAGGGTACATTCGATGGACTGTTGAGATGGCCATTCATGCAAAAGGTAATGTTATTTTGACGTAATAACTTGCAAGTTGAATGGGCCAAGTTCTTTTTTATTTGGAACCAGCAAAATCATTTGAAATATGTGAAAATTGTATGTTTAAAGTGGGAAATTCAGCAATAATTTACATATATACTAGTACTTAGCTAAGACTCATTTTGTTGGAACAGGTCATCACGCAGCGAGTGTTCGAATTTCATGTAAACAATCAATGTATTTCACGCGCGTTTGTACGTCGCTATGAGATCCATATCGATCAGGACTAAAATTGAGAATAAAATGGGTTACATGTTCCTTCAGGTTGTCATATACCCGCATACTATTCAATCCTAATCATAGTTTTGCTAGTTTGTTGGCCTCTATACCAAATCCTACTGACACAAATTGTGAACATTTGTGTGTTAGTACAACGAACATGATATACAAGCAATACAATATTGTACCTTATGTCCGCCATCCATAATGTTTACAAACTAATTGTGAACAAACATATATATCTATAAATGGTTTGATCGGGCTACTGTGCTGTATAATAGTTTTGTACTGAGTAAATGACAGGGTGGATGCACATTAAATCTGATTCTTAAAAAAAATATGCATTTTATGGGCAAGATTTTTTTTTGAAATGATGCAAACCATTTCATTTGAACTTTTTTATAATTTTGATTTATGTTGATTTTATTTCCAGGTCACTTTCATGATTTTGGATCAAAAAAACCAAGACCATGTGATCGACTCATTTCGTCCTACGACTACATCGAATTCGTTCCAACGTCCTACTGGCGACATGAATATTGCAAGTGGCTGTCCGTTATTCATGCCTTTATCTCAACTGGATAGTCGTCGACATGCTTATGTAAAGGACGACTGTATGTTTATCAAGGTGATCGTAGATACTACAGATTTAAATTGAGATGTTGGTATTCATTTTTCTTTCACATTCGCGTGCAAAGTTCACAATGTATAATCAGTGTGTCTGTATGTAATGTAGATAATGATAATAATGTATTAATTGTTATCTGGTTTGGAACGCATATATAGTTTGCTTAAATCTAGTCGAGTCGAAAATGTATCCAGTGAAAGCATTTAGTGGAGGGTCATAAGCCTAATAATTACAATCGTGTGTACTGTCATGAATTTGTTTGCGCGTATCTGTTGACAGACTTATTTAGCTGATTACTTGTGAATGGCTGTGTAACTAATTACGATATAACCGTCGCTATCCGGACTACTATTTCTGACAGTTGGTATTCGCATTTAGTAATATAGTGAACGATTAATCAAAAGATATGACGTGTCCAGTACTTAGTGTGATTGGTTGAATGTGCGAAGGCCACGCCTTAGAGTCTTTTAACTGCTTTGTAATTGGTTAAGGTTTTGAAAGTGAATAAAGTTGTTTTAGTTGGTCTTGGCGAGTACACCACGAGAGACGCAGTCTAGGGACAGAGTCTTGGGTCAGCCTTGCGATAGTCTTGGGGACTTTTCCCCAGGGCGATGTGTCGTATAGAGTGTTCGACTGACCGACTAAAGACGAGAGTTGAAACGTATTTCGTTGTGTGTGTCTTATTTGACTGTAAAGTTTAAGTGACGTTCCCGATCCCGTACCTCAAGCAGACGTGTATACAGACAGAGACGAGATTTCACCCTGACATGTATTGGAGAACTCCGCCCAGGGGAGAGAATTCCCCCGTGATACTACAACAAGTATAAAAAATAGAAACAACATGACGCAAGAATCAAGCATATCCATGAGAAGCACAAGATAAACACTTTCAATTGACGAACAAACGAAGATGAAAGAAGCTACGCCACTCAGAAGAAAAACAACGCCAAAACAGTAAAACGAATGCTCTCGATATAGAAAAACATTTGCCGGAATGGAGTGCCACGGGACTTCATTTTGAAACCATTACTGTTTATTATGTATGTGAACGATCTCCCCGATCACGTAAGTTCATCATACTGCTCAACCTATGCCGACGACACAAAACTTTATAAATCTATCATAAATGTTACAGACTGTTTCACCCTCCATAATGATTCAAATAGGCTCCATGATTGGTGTAAGACTTGGTTTCTCAAGCTAAATCCACAGAAGTGTAACGTTACCTCGTTCATTAAGAAACGCTCGACTCGACAATTATAAGATAGATGGTTTGCATATTGGACGTGTCACTCAAGTTAAAGACCTTGGTGTCATATTGATGGATAACCTTAGTTGGTCCGCTCATGTTGGCACTATTGTGACAAAAGCATACCAAATTGCCAGGTCTAATAAAGCGCACACGTAGACAATTTACTAGACTGGCGCAGTTCGGGGCGATTAATTTGTTTTTGTAGTTTAAATAAAATGGAGGTGTTAGCGCGAAATCCCCTGTAACTGCGAAATCACCCCGACTGGTTTATTCTGCATGGCCCTCTATCGACACTGCAGAACCCGTCGATTTTTCAACAGGTAATTATGTTAATGAGTGCACTAATTGACAATCATCTAAGCCAACCAAAACGTCTCTTCTACTGACCTCTGACCGAGAAGACGTCGGCTG